TATTATTGCTCTTTTCTCTCTTTTTTTTTTGTTTTTTTTTTGTTTTTTTTTTTTCCTAAAAATAAAACAAATAACAAGATAAGAACTGAGTTGTGTCTTAAATCATATCAAAATCAATAAAGATATTAATAATAAGGTCAAGAATGGTAAATGACATCTACGTAATGTATGCCTAAAAATAAAGAATGATATATACACTATCAATGGATCTATATGGATATATAAGTAAATATAAAGAAACCCGCATTCCCAAAATATATATACAGAATATTACATGCATGTGTTTTAATAAGAATATTAGGAACCAAAAAAGTAAACTATTAAGTTATATTAAATGAAAGGCTTATGTTGATAGAATGCGGAGCAAGTATTAAAAAAATTATTGAATTAGTTTGAAGTGGAACATATTTTTGAAAGATTTTTTCTACTTGAATTAGCTCCTTCGAGTGCCCAAAATGTTTGTAATGTTTGGATGTCTAAATATTTTATAAATGTTAATAAAGGATCGGTATAGATTATTAGCATACATATAACCATACGCGATTTCTTACCATCTTCCGGTATAAATACACTCATGGCATTTTGACGACCTGATAGATATTTAAAATGGTTACAAAGTTTAATATTAATAAAGTGCACAATGTTCAAAATAAATTAATAATGACGTTCACCTGTGTTATATTGATTGTTAATCAGATTTGTTACTAAATGATAAATGAATAAAATCGTTATCAAAGTTATCCTTCAATTCCAACTAAAACTTATTGACAATATATTATATACACGTAGTTTTTACCTAATGTTTCTGAGTGTTCAGTTTCAAGTGATTTTGATATATTAGTAGTGGATCCATTATATTGTTTGGCTATTATTGAAAATATATGTCAGTTCGATAAATCATATTCCATAAATCATACATTTAAATTGATAACTTACGTGTTGGTGGTAAAAAACTATAAATATCTCTAGTTGGTGATGAGATTTTATAAGTTTCTTTTGATCTTGAGTATTTTGTTGTATATGAACTTCGTGTATTTGATGTAAAGTTATAAGTATTTCGTGAAGTCGGTAAATGGTTGTGATCATCTCGTGAAGGCTGCAAGTTGTTTGTTACATCTTGCGAAGGCTGTGATTGATTGTCTGTATCACTTTGTGATTGTAGCAATTCTTCCATAATATCTGTATATACATATAATTTAACTTTAAAAAATTTTGCTATATTATTAAAAGATAAATGTTGATTCTTACCTTGATCATAAATTTCATAAATTGAACGCGGAAGATTTAACGAGAGATACTGCCGAAGCCGCATTTCTTTTATTTCTTTAAAATCTAATAATCGACTGTGATACACTGCTCCCGGATGTGTCACTTTTTTATTATGAAGCTTCCCGAAACGCGATTTATAGCTATTTCTTCGCATGCACTTATCAAGTGAATCGTCTACCAGCCAGTGATAAATGGTTTTTGAAATTTCTGCAGCATCTGGACGATTTAGCGGATTATCGTCCCAGCAAGCTGTCATAAGTTCTGAATAAAATGACGGCGTACCAAATGTAATTGGAGGTCTTCTTCGATTGCATATATCCTTTACTAAATCTAAATCATGGGATATATTATCATATGGCCTTGTACCCGAACAAATTTCCCACATTATTATGCCAAAACTATATATATCAGATTGTTTAGAGTAATTCTGGCCTCTGAAAAGTTCTGGTGCGACATAAGGAATAACCCCATAGACTTCTTTTTTACGGGCAAGTCTACCAGCAGGCCCACAAAGTCCAACATCTCCAAGGACAAAATGTGTTCGATCAATGTTCATAATATTACCACTATGCAAATCACCATGAATAAGATCTCTTTTATGCATTTCTCCAAGTGCACGTGTGATCTGCTTAATTATTTGAATCTTTTCCTTCCAAGTCAATCTTTTATGTTTTTGAAGATATGTATATAAATCTCCAAAGGGTGCATATTGGGTAACCATCATGAATTCTCCTGTATTTGGTTGTTGAGTGATTCCATAACATCTCAAAAATTGAGGTTGCAAAAACAGAACCCAATGCGATTTTATCTAAAATAATATACAAATATGTGTATAATCTTAATTTCAACAATAATAATAATAATAGTAATAATAGTGAATAATAAAAGAATGAATACTAACCTCATTTAAAAAATCAGTACTTATGTCTTGAGAGTCTTTTAAACATTTCAATGCAATTGTTTGTCCGGCAGTTATCCAAGTCGCTTCGTATATAGTAGAAAACCCACCACAATCAATCTGTTTGCATTTTATAAATTCATTAAAAGGAATCCACATTAGATGCTGCGTGGGATTAGGATATTCCAATCTCATTTCGTGTACAAGTTCATCAATTTGCTTATAACCACTGCGCCAATCCCGACGTGCACCGGTGCTTGTTCGGTCAGGCGTATTTACGGATGTTATGTTCCTTCCTAATACAAGACTATTATCTTGATTGTTATTATAATTGTTCGTACCATCGCCGTCATTGGTAGTTATACCGTTAATTGATCGTTCCGTTATTTCCGCATCACCTTGATGCTTTACTGAGAATACTTTACGAAGTATCTTACTAACAAATCCCATAATTTCGGAATTAGTTGACATATAAACAATTTTTATAGTCAAAAGATTCGGTTAGGAGTAAGATGATGGAATGAACAGGTTAATAAATTATTGATAAGGCGAGAAAAATATTTGATTAAGGGTTGAGTAAGGGATGATTAAGGGATGAATAAGGTAACGGAAAGTAAAGGATGGATAAAAAGGAATGTAATAAGATTTATACTAATTTTTGACTAGATCATGGGAATTGCATGATTAAGTTCAAGAAAAAAAAAAAAAAAATTAAATTACTATAAGAACTTACTGGAACATTGAATCCCTGCTAGTCATTTTAAACGAGAAACCTGTAAAATGCGGCCAATGTTTGGGTTCCCAAATAACAGCTTATATGACTCCTGTTCTATATAAGGGTTGGACAAATTTCCATGTTGGGTTGGGATTACAATAGTAATGATACACTAATATATAAACAGGCAAAAACATCCGAAAATACCCTTGCGTTGATACACTCGTCCTGAATTAGTATGCATTGATCAAGATTTATAGGTAGGTACGATGAATATCTGCCCATATCAAGTTAGACTTGTGCTAATATTATAATAAATGCGTAAAAAATTAATTCATACCAAAACATTCCCATTAAGTACGTACGTACGTACGTACGTCCGTCCTTTATCATATTTATTTCAATTTACGCATATAAAACTTTGATAGAATGCAGTAAACCATAGGAAATGAAATACCACATTAATGATCGTAAGAGAGAACCACGAAACTGAAATTATTCATCCTGGCCGAACCTTATATTTTTATAGTAAATGTAAGCCACCCTCACAAACATTAATGTCATTTAAGGTAACTGGTGACAACGGACTTCCAAATACGTAGTAGATTTATGATAATGCATCAAACGAATTTCTCGATTTATATAATTTAATAGCGATAGAATTTCATTTCATTTCATTTCATTTAGCCTGAATGAAAGCTCTAGTATACAAATATAAATCCTCCCACAAGTTTACAAGCAATAGTAATGCTTATAAAAATGGCTTCCAATTTCATAAAACCATAATTTTATCAATTTTATCTGAATACCCATCAGCTAGCTTTCGCGGATTATACAGGTTGACTAATCAGGGAACGTCTAAAGTGGAAGTGGTTATACAAAACCATGGAACTATCACTATTATTAGAAATTTTTTTATTGTTTAAGGTTAAGGTTAACTATAGCAAGGATTAGGCACCCCAACTTTTTTTGCCGGTTTTATTATGTTTCATAATGCATATCGAACGACCTATTAATTACTATATTTAGCTGTTTATTTATTATCGCTTCTATTTGTTGTTACTCAAGTGGTAAATCTGACTGGTTATGTTCTACGTAGTGATAGGCGTGGTGTTATTGAAATGAAAAAACATCAACAGATTATATGTATAACGTGTTTTCAATAATACTTGTGCATGTACTGTATACCTAAATGCTAGTTCTTTCAAAGTTAAAAGACGGATATTCTTTGATCTCTTTATAATAAAAGAAAATTTCACGTAGTCTAATTAGCAAATTACCTAAATGTTTGTTTATTATTAATACCGAAATTTTAAGTTTTATTCCAATCTCAAGTACTAGTTATAAAAGTATAACTACAGTATATCATATGCTCTGATTTTT